TTATGGATAGAATTTAGTGGTGTACCTCCAGAGTTCTTCTGGACGGTAGTACATATTCCTGTCCCATTACAGGGTCTATCCATGGTGAAGTTGGTTCTAAGAGTGTTTACCAGTGGTACAAATAAATAAATATCTCAGAATTACCTTCCCTGGTTGTGTGCTCGCTATATCCCATTGTATGCTGCCATGTAGTTGTCAGGAAAACAGAAAATTTTCCTTTCCTGATGCCAATAAATGAAAACGGAAAATTTTCCTTTCCTGATGCCAATACATGGCAGCATACAGGACCCTCCCATGACTTTTGCATTGAGTACTTGTTACGAGAATGGTGGCCTTGGGAGGCAGGCTTTAATTTATAGTATAACTGGTCCTGTGATTGGGCTGGGGGCGGAGCCATACCTATTGTATGCTGCCATGTATTGGAAGATGGCAAAGGTTAAAACACAATGAGCTTTTAATAGCCAAGGAATGGTGAAAGATGGATGAGAGCTGCACAGACAGTCCTGTGTGCCAGCACAAAGTGCCTGCATTAAGGCGTTTACGGGGTCACACCCCCTTCCTCAGAATGTGACCTCCTCCTCCTACCCACTGCATTAAGTGGGGGCTAACAACCAATCAGAAGATCTCTTGGGGTATGTGTCATCGCCTCTCAGGGTGGTATCTTAGACACGGGCACGGCCACTTTTTGCGTTCACCGCCCATGATGGCTCGGATGACACGTGGGGCCATCCGGCCAATCTGAAACTGATTGTGCGGACGCCCAACCCCCTATGACTCACCTAACTCTCCAACCAATCAGCGGGACAGAAAGTCGATGTGTGCCGACACTGAAGCTTAGTGTCTGCACAGGATTAGATTGATTATGCTGGTGCTTTGAAGGGGACATAATTCACCCTGATGTAAAGGTGGAGGAGGAAGTCAAAATCCTATGCAACTTGAACCTGAAACCACACATATATAAATATAAACATAGCGGACATTTACTGGGGACTCTAACTTAAGTCAGAAGTAATTATGTACGTTCAGAAAATATATATCCATGTATGTGTGCCCACAGTATATATATATATATAATACATGTGTTATGTATTTTAGATAATTCAAAATTTAAAACATTCGCTGAAATGTCCATCTGATGGATGAATAGATAGTATGTAAAAACATTCATAAAAAATACATAAAATACATAATGTTTAAAAATGTATAAAAATATATATGTGAATATTTATCAAATAAAAAATAGGAGATATAAAATTCATAATGGATATTAGCACTCGGACCCACAAAAGAGTCAAGTGTGTATTGAACGGGAACAGCATGGAATGAGGGACATAATGAATGGGATATGGACCCTAAGGGAGATCTTGTGTATGAATGGAAATATGGCTGTATAGAACTTGGAAAATGAGGGAAGATGTTGAAAGCTCATGATGGAAAAATATACTTGATGCATAATTATTGACTGACTTGAAGATAAATTAAAGTGATGTGGCCATTTCTAGGCCTTCATTGAGACCACTTGAATGTAAGCTTTTTAGCGAATATATCCAGAAACCTTCTCTGTGACACAATTTTTTAAATCTAGCACCTTTGTCTAGGTTCTCTGGAACTCATTGTGTTCTACTCTTGTGAGTATGTTTTTAACCTTTGCCATCTTCCATTAAAAACTATCTACACCAGGGTAGGCACCCCTTGTTTTTGTGTCCTCCTCAGATATCACAGTCTCCCTGGCTGAAGTGGGGCAGCGACCCGTAGCACTCTTGCATGTCAACCCATAGTGAAGTGGTCGTCTTTGGCGCTTTTTGACGTTTCTTTACTCTAGAAGTAACAGTCCGTCACATGGTCTTTCTGTTCTCGCCATATCATCGGGACAGCAAATGGCATTGTCTTTTGAGTGCCTCAGAGCCAAGCTCTCAGACCGACAGCACATGTCGCACAACAAATGTGAGGCGCCCATTCCTTGTCTTGATCACCAATTTTACAGCCGAAGTACAGATGATATACTTTCTTCACAAGAGCATTAATTGAGCGTCTCTGATGAACAAGTGTATACTCGCCACAAATATAGCAGAATGGCTGTTACGACATTGACGAGACATATCGCCCGACACCAATCGTCCTGTAAAATGTCTACAACATCTAACTTACTTGTTATAGTGCTACTAAGGCAATGCTATATTCTGAAACAATACGTACACACTAGAAGGTCTATCCATTCACACTAGTCTATCCCGCACACTAGAAGGTCTATCCCGTACACACTAGAAGGTCTATCTATTAATCCAATGAGCAGCATCTGTATATGCAAGCCACTTTTATAGCCCGTTGAGACAGTGTCAAGCTGGCTCCGGCCTGCCCAGGCTGCATACTTCCACAGAACAGCTTCCAACCTGGCCTGATTTCATGCCTGGACATGCCCAGATGGCACAAAACATTGTTCATTGGACACAAATATAAGAAAAAACATGACAAAACTGAAGATTTCAATGAAACAGTATGTGATGGGCGCAAATTTGAATGTGATTTTCGTGATTAGAAGCCAAAAATCTATAAGGAACACCCAACAGTGTTCAAGAAGCAAACATTTTGTTGTGCAGTGTAATTTATTGCACAAACAAAATTAAAAACGTACCACAGACCACATATGTAAGTTGGCACTGTACAAAAAACAGCAGGTTACAATCCATGCATTGTCGGGAACAAGGAGATTTTATGGGGGTGTGTTATACACTTTTTTTCAAATTATGGTTTTATATATGTTGTATGAATTCTAGCACTTCTTATTTATTGAATTGTTTCTGATACTTCACTTTGATAATACCTTTGTTTTATGGATCTATTGAGTTTGTTTGTTGCATAGAGGGGGAGATAGTTTCTTGAGCAAATAAGAACTGGATGAGAGGACTGAGATCCTCTGATTTATTCAATGCAGTGTAGTGTGGAGAAGCCGCCGCTCCTTTTGTACGACTGTTACAAGTGATCAGCTACCCAGATCACTTGTAGCAGCCTGTTTGTCCCACCTCCTGTGGGCAGCGACACTATGTAACCTGCAGAGTAGCGCTGTCGGCATACAGAAGCGACAATTTACCCCCCCATGCTGGGGTGTCCATGGAGTCACCTCAGGTGCGTGAGCGATACCTCCGCCAGCTTCCTCATCACCCCTACCTGCAGGGGCGTCCCGAGGCTGGGTGATACCCGGAGCGGTAACCGAGTTACCACTGCACATGCGCGTGACGTCATCGCGCGTCAGTATTCTGATATCTGCCGGCGGCCATCTTGGTGATGGACGCCGGCAGAGAGAGGTCACCCCGCGGGATAAGGTATGCCGCCGGGTCCCCTCCTCTCTCCTGATACTGTCGGGCGTTCAGTCCATGACTGAGCGCCCGACTTTTCAGAGGGGGGTGACACCAAAATGACTGAGTGATTTTGGTGTCACACCTCCAAGGGTGTCACCCGGGTGCGGGCCGCACCCCCCTTGTGACGCCACTGCCTACCTGGTCCCCCTTACAGCCACTGCTGCACTGATCCTTCGTGCGCTGTGAGAGTAGCAGCGCCGGAGTAGATAAACACCCATCGGGCAGTGCATACCCCCTTCTCATGTCACTGCTGCCATCGGGCCTGACATGCTCCATACAGAAAGAAGGGGAAAAGCCCGAGCAGTGCTCTTCTCTCCAGGGCCCAGGGGTATTCCATAGGACGTCTTCTGGGCTGTACACACTGACAGTGGTGTATGAGGGCAGCTGCACTGCCTGCTTCCACTAAGGTGCAGGGCAATCTCTGGGATCAGTCTGTCCTGCATTCTCATCTTCCACATGACCATCTTATCTGTATCTGAACTGCTGGAGCACTACAACTGCCAGCATGCCAGGAGCTGGCAAGGATGCAGTTATCCCAGAGGAGCTATGTATCAAATCCCAGTAAGGAGTGTGTGTGTGTGTCAGCTACTGCATTTAATTGGAGCAAAGAAGATGGAGTGCCAAGAGCAACCAATCAGGTTGCATCATGAATTTTTGGGAAAATGAATCGGTTGCAGTGGCTGGATGCGGCCGTACGCTGTCATACACACACTCAAACTGCACATCCGTGCGGGTGTCCGTGCTCAGATGCAGACAGGATCCATCTTGTCTGCGTCAGAGTATGGACACCCGGACGGATGTGCAGCTCAGGTATGCGTATGACCGCATCCTCCCATAGGGAAGAACAGGCTGCTGCATGCAATCGCAGCACCTATCCCTCCCTGGAACGGCCTGATACAGCCATGCATGCTGCATGGGTGTGTACGGCCCCACTCTACGCTGTGTGAATGAGGTCTTATTGTGCGAGGAGGGCAAAATCCTTGTATATACACACCCACTTGTTTCTGCTAATCTAAGGTCAGAAAGCATTAAAAGAGAACTATGGGGTAACCTTTTTATCCCATAGCTCTCTTTAGGGTCACAGGAGAACATATGCTAAGGTCCTCCGGTGACCCAAAACTCAGTATATAGCAGGCTATTGCCCGCTATGTACTCAGAGCCCCGCAGCCGGGATGGATCCCAACAATCCACTATAGAACTGTCATTGAATTGACCTAACTGTGCTTACCAATGAGAAGCACTTCTTAGCATGGTTAAAATACAGTTTTGGTTAAAATAATTTTTTTGTATCAGGACAAGTAGATTGTCATGAGGGACAAGTAGATTGTGCCGCTGCTTAAGTCCTTGGACAAGTAGTTTTTAAAACAATTTCCACACCCCTGCTTTCCCTTTCCAGCAAGTTCCAAAAACAAACAACTATATATTGTACTGTTAGGAATTGCACCCAATAGTTAGTAAATACAATATTGCAGAAGTCAAATTCATTATCAGCTTTCATAGCGCTGCTTTTTTTTTTATTGTGGGTGAACAAATTGGAAAGCCCCAAAATGTAACTAGAAACAGTAGAGCTGGTGGCAATTTAACATTATCTTACAAATAATTATACCTTACCCAAATAGGCCATAATTTGTGAAAGATACATACCTGTGTCATATCGATGCATAGTACTTACAGCTCCAGTTTCAGTCATTCCACCAAAGATGTAAATACATTTTTCCCAGGATAGTGCAGAGTGAGCAGCACAGGGATGAGGTACATCTCCCTTTACCTGAACTTCTTCCCACATCATTGTATCTGAAGAAGAAGATATGTTTTACATAGTACAACTATATACCTGTGGCCTAGACAGCTCTTACTCCAAGAGGGTTTGCAAGAATTTCCACTTATGTACAGTTCAGCACTAGATATAATTGTTTTGGAAAAGCAAAAGGTACAAAATCCACCTGGAAACCTTACAACCTACTGTTCAGCTATTATGTGCATACATCTATTATTACATTTATTATTTTACCAACTTTTTGAGCTGATTCCTGCAGAAGGGTGAGGGTAATTCCTAGTGCATTTCATCAGTATATTTCCAGGGTTTTAGATCTATAATATCATACCAAATGCAGTAAACGTTTATTAAACCATGCAGTGGGGCAACCCTTACACTGCAATGGTTAACTGCTAGTTTTTGTCTAGGTGCTAATACAAAAAAAAAAGAAGAGTTATACTCACCTGAACTGCAAAGCTGGCTAGCTCTTACACCGGTCCTTCCAGCCCCTCTCCCGCTCCACTGCAGCAGTCTAAGGTCCCATAAATCATGTTTATACAAATCTGCACTGCACTCTAACTCATATGATAACACTATTAACCGCTTCCCGGCTGGGCATTGTAAAAAAGCGGCCGGCCGGGAGCTTCCTGGTTGTAACAGGCCTGTGTATATACGGCCTGTTAGCCCCGCCCACTCGTGCTCGCCGTTTTGAACGACACAAAAGGTTAAAATAGGCAGCGATGCCCGTTAACATACAAGCGATCCACCGGCTATAGAGCCGGCAGATCGCTTGTATGAGGTCCCGGGTATGTGCGCCCCCCCCGCTGTCACGCTGGTCCCGGGCTCCGCTGTGCCCGGTGCGAGCCCGGGACCAGCATAGTGCCTCTCTGACAGGGTATCAGAGGGAGGATAAGAGGAAGGTCGGTACACGACCTCCATCCGGTCCCCTCTCCTGGAGAGAAGCTGATAAAGCAGATCTCGGCTTCATCAGCTTCTTCAGGGGAGTCCTAGGTGACATTAAGGGTCTTGGAGACCACTGATGTCTCCATAAAGAGGACCGGTCACATCTTTTGCTATCACATAGGGGGGTTTCTTAGCCCCCTATCTGATAGCAATAAAGTTAAGTGGAAAAAAAAAAAAAAGGAAAAAAAAATTAAAGTTTCCCATTTAAAAAAAAAAGTTGCACATAAAAAAGAATGTAAAAAAACAATTTTGTTTAAAAGTCCCCCCCATACATACACGCATGCAAACATGCGTCAGGTGCGCATACCTGCGAAAACGACGATTGCGCCCATTACTCCGCACATGTTACATATCTCCGCGAATGTCGGTGTGAGAGCAATCATTTTAGGGCCATCAATCACTGATAACACTAAACTGATGAGCTGTAAAAGCTTTTAAAGCGTTGCCTATGGTCAATTTTGGGTATGGTAGTTTTTTGCAAATTCGCGGGTGCACGCAATTTTTAAGCTTGACATGTTTGGTGTCTATTTCCCCAACGTGACCCCGTCTTTTATATTTTACCAAAAAATTGGGTAATAATAATTGTTTCCCAACAATGTAAAAAAAACTTTTTTTTCCTAAATTTTCAGTAATTTTTCCTAAATATAGTAAAAAATAAAAACCCCAGTGGTGATTAAATACCACCAAAAGAAAGCTCTATCTGTCCCTAAAAAAGGTATAAAATTAATTTCAGTACAGCGTTGCATGACGCAATAAATGTCAGTCAAAGTACTGAATACTGAAAAATAGCCTGGCCAGGAAGTGGGTCTAAACACCTGGTCTTCAAGTGGTTAACACTGCAGTGATAATGCAGTAAAATCATTAATGTGATCCTCTAAAATCCATAAATATTCCTCTTAAAAGATCATACATCCTCATTAATTAAATCTACACCAATACATCCAATTATACAAAATTAATATCCTTAAAGTGGCATTAAAGCTTGATTTTTTTATTTTATGTATAGGAGGCCCACACTTGTTAAAATTTTCTGTTCTTTTAAAAAAATGTTCAGACCCTCGTCCCCCCACACCCCCTTTGCCCCCCGCATGGGTGCCTCCATGAACTAAGCCTATGGCTCCTCTGCCCTCAGTATCCTCCCCCACAACAAGGAAGTTCGGGGAATGGAGGATCGCTTGAGGGACCGGTGGCGGTGACAAGTCTTCACTGGTAAGTGTGGGAGGGGACACAAAAAGGTACTGGGCACTTTTTACCTTAATGCAGAGAATGCATTAAGATGGTCTTTAAGTGCTTATATATTGGCCCGGTAGATGCTTTCGCCAGGGCCGGTGCTAGCATTTTTTCCAACACAGGCAAAGTTGAATTTTTGCGCCCCCTGTCCCTGCGGGCAATCAACACTGCTCCTCAATGTTCCGCCAATGCCAGTGTACTTATTCATGCGGTTAATCAGAGCTCAAACACAAAAATGCCTTCGATAGTGTAACCTTTTTAAAACGCCTTTATTTAAAACATTAAAATGCACTTACATAAAAACTTTAATAGTTTGCTTGTCACAGCATCTTTCGGCCAGCGTTGCTGTCACTGCTACTCCTGCGTGATGACGTCAGCATGTAGCAGCCATCCAGCGCATTTCGTCGGCTGACTTCCTCGCCATACATGCCGACATCTTCCTTCCTATAGCTTAATGACCATAGACACCTATATGTCTACACTATAGACTTGTCTTAAATTTGAAATGACCACTAGGGGTCAACAAAATACTATAGCTAAGGCAGACTAGGAGTTTCCACAACAACATATATGCAATACCCACAATAAAACTTGTGATTCTACCCCACTATATATAAATAAATGTACTAGATACATCAACTAAAATGATCTAATATTAAACCTAAATCCAACATATGAATTTTAAAATGTTCTTACATTAATTATCTATTTATTTTGCGAGCATTCAGCCCACTTCCCTTATTTTTATTTTGTTTTAATCATTACTTAAAAAGCAATTTAGATCTAGTTCTATATTTAGTCCCTAGCACTCCACTACCCGCTGTGAAGAGTCACTAAGTTTCTTTTTGAGAGATATTTCTCTTGAGATTGCTGCCTCTCCAATGCTTTACTGCTGTATCTATCCCACAGAATTTTAATCCTTTTGCATCCTTGTGGTAGAATAGTATAAAGTGGCGAGAGACACTGTTTGTCAAATCACTTCCTTATATTTTTTATATGTTCTTGAATTCTGATTTTTAATTGTCTGGTAGTTCTTCCTATATATTGGTAACCGCAAGAGCATTCAAGAAGATATGTATCTGGATCAACAGGGGGTAATTGTGGGCATAGCGATTTGTTTAGGCTTTTCTCCTTTTTTTTCCCCATATCTCTATAGGTTGAACTCAATGGACATGTGTCTTTTTTCAACCTGACTAACTATGTAATATAAGATGCAGGGGTGTGGAATTCCTATCGCCCGGGACAGGCAGTTTTGGGCGCCGGTCGAGTTTTCTTCTACATTTAGCCCGACTGCGGGCAAGCAGCATGGCTAAATGTAGTGTGGGAGCCGTTTCGTACAAGTGATCTTGAACGGCTGTACAGCTGCCCAAAATCACTTGTAACAAGCCTGAATCTCACTCGCTCCCCCTCCCCTCTTCCTCTCTCTATTCTATCTCCGGCGGCCGACCGTGTACCTCTCCCGGCTGGCTCTCTCCCTGCACGCTGGCTTCTTTTCTGCCGTGGTCTTCGGAGTCCCCCCTTCTTGTGGGAGACCTGGGACCATAGCAAATTAGGTTACGTTAGAGAGCACGGAGCAGAGCAGAGAACGCTTCTCTGCTCTGCGTGAATAGCGACACAGGAATGCAGCCTTCCTGTCACAGGAGAACAAGCACAGTTCTGTGCTAGAACTCCTGTGTTGGAGGTGACAGGGTCAATAAAGAGAACCTGTCACCTCCAAAAGCTATCACATAGGGGCTTGTTATCCCCCGTGTGATAGCAATAAAGTCAAGTGAAAAAAAAAAGTAAAAAATAAAATAAATGACAATTAAAAATGTAAATACATAAAAATTGAAAAAATAAAAAGGCAATAAAAATAAATGATAATTAAAAATAACCAATATTACAAAGTAAATAAATGCATGCATGTGTGTGAGCAGAGTGGGCGATCTGTTACCGCAGGGCAATCGTGCACACAATCGTGTGGATGGCCTAGCAGTCACAGAATCACACACCACCGCCGATCGCTCTGTCAGTGCCATTATTGTCTAATGGCACCCCAGTCGCGCCAGGCAGATTGCGCGGTTTCCCGCTGCAATACCACCCGTGCAATTGCCCATAATCACGGTTGAAAACACTGCACGGTGCGTGTCGCGAAAAAAGGTGCATGTACCTTTTTTCAGCGATTGCCACACGGATGTAACTCCATTGAAATCAATCGGGCAACCGCATAAGATCGCCCAAGTCTGCACCAGCCCTAAAGGGTAAATTCACTTTCCCAAGTAATTTGGAAAAATGGAATTACAAATCTGGTCCCCTCTCCCTCCTGCTGCTATACTTACCTTTCAGCGAACGGTCCTTCCCATCGGCCAATATGGGCATACTATCTGTACCTGTGCCATGTATTCAGAATTTCGCTCGCAAATTGCAAGTACTCGTTGGTCAGCGCGGTCACCTGATGCCACTTACCAATGAGAAGTTCTTCTTAATACGGTTTTGGGTAAAATAATTTTTTTTGTATCAGGACAAGTAGATTGTCATGAGGGACAAGTAGATCGGGCCCCCGCTTTAGTCCTTGGACAAGTAGTTTTTTTAAATTTCCACACCCCTGAGATGTGTTACATGAAATAAACTCTCTAATTATAAATCTCCTCCCACTGGTATTGGATTAAAATTGGACCACTTTTTTCTTTTATTAGGTAATCCTACATATCTAGTAAATGGATAAAATCCCACTCCTCCAAACAAAGTTATCTCCTTCTGAGGGGGGTCTACTACATTATGTGCTAGTTTATTCCTCAGTGTAGGTTCTCTTCTATACACTATTTTAGGGGGATCCAGTATCTTGTCCTTTCTTAGAATGTCCCAA